CCCTCCGCCCCGCCCCCCGACGGACCGCCAATCCTCCGCCCCTCCCCGCTGATGGACCGCCAACCCTCTGTCCTGAGCGCCATCTTTACAACCCCAGCCCTGACTCCTGCACCCCCTCAAACATACCCCTCCCCCTGCACTAAGCATCCACATCCCAGCCTCCTGCCCTGACACCCCCCTCACACTTCATCCCACAGTGCTGCTGCCTGCCAGGTTCCCCATTGCATATGCTCCTAGAGATGTATTGGTCCTATTTGAAAATCAGTTCTTTAGACGAATGAAGTCATTATCAGCGATTCTTTGGCTGGGTTTTATTGCTGCTCCATCCCCACCCCACCCATTCCCCACACGTGGCACATTATCCCCCCATTCTCGGCCCAGGCCGCTACCCTGTACCAGTGTCGTGTTTGGGACCAAGCAGTGTACCTGTCTGTGGATTGCAAAGTGCTGCTGTGTCACTCCCGGGCCAGTTTTCACTGGGATGCCTGACGCAAGCCCAGATGAGCTCAGCTGAATGCTGCAGGCCTCTGGAAAAAAATCCCCTAAAAAGGCACCCTCGCTGTATCACAGTTTCCAGCAGCCATGGTCACTGCCCCTCCTCCTCCTCGTTCCGAACGTGGAGTCACACCCGCTGCACAGCACACCCTGGCCGTGTTTGCAAACGCAGAGCTAATTTCCATGTCACCCGCCTTCACAACAGCTTTTTCATAGCCGGGAATGCCTGGCCCGGGCAGAAATTGCTGTGTTGCGAGGCTCTGCTTTGGCTTTGTATTCGGACAGCTTCGGGTGAATTCATGTGCTCCCGCACGCCCAGAGAGGCAGCAAGAAGGGGACCCGGTTTTGGTACATACACCCACCTCCCTGCCCCCTCCCACCATGCATTTACAGCATTAAGCCCTGAATAATTTATCATCTTTGTTTTCTAACATAGGGGAGGAGGGTCAAACTCTGAAACAGCAGCAATCAGGACTTTCCCATCCAGCCCCACAGTGAAGGGTTTGAATGCAAAAAGCTGCCTGTTTATTCTTGCTTTATACCAGCCAGCAAATGTGTTGGGAAGTTTAAATGCGAGACCATCCCCGTTCTGCACCACTGAGCAGGCAACTCAAATGGCTTTCCTTGGTATTACTTACAACTAACGTTCTTCCTTGATTAGAGGGAAATCATTTTCAGAATCACACACGCTTTTCATCTTGGAAGCCGTGTGCCGGCTTTTTGCATTTCACAAGTTCGTGTCAGCATCATTTCAGTCGGGTCTGGTGCCTGATTCTCATGCGCCGGAAGAGTCTTGCAGGGTAGGAATTTCACAGCAACGCAAAGGCTGGGGTTGTTCCAAGAGCAAGTACCTGGCCCCCAACCCAAAATTCATGTTTTTATCTCAGGTTTTGTGAAACATTTTTTAAAAGAACTATTAAAGTTCTGGGGGCGAAAACCTGAAAAACCAGCAGTGGTCCTGCAGCACCTTATATAAATCGTATCATGAGCTTTCATGGGCACAACCCACTTCCTCCGCTGATTAACAGTTTTGAGCTAAAGTTTTGGATTTCCACAATCTGATACTATTGCTTTAAGGGGGCGGTGCCTATTGAGTACTGTGGTGGTGAAGACAGTATAAAACCCCTACACAGACAGGCACTAAAACCTCTCCTGGCAGTGAGCATCCTTGCGGGATGCACAGGAGGAGAGAGGGCGCGATGGAGGTTGTGATGTTTTGTTCCACCCCAAGGACGTTTGTGTTGGGGCCCAGGTTCCGATCCTGCACGGGGCTGAGACCCT